GCTCGGCAGAGTGCAGGACGTCTGGCGAGTCCTGGGCACCGAGGACGAGTGCCGCCTGCGCATCCTCGAGGTGGAGACCGCGGCGATCTTGCAGATCGAGAGCAGCGGGGCTGGGGGGGTCACGGGCACTCGTTAGCTTCCGCCTGCTTCTGCCTGGGGCGGCGGAAGCAAGCGGAAGTGGGCGAAGAGGAAAAAAACGAAGGCGGAATCAGGCGGAGGCAACGCGAAGCGGAAGCAGGCGGAAGCTAACGAGCGCCAGCAAATCCCGAGCGCCACCGGTCACGATCGAGCAGGGCTACAAGTTCCCCAGGCCGCAGAAGCTCGACTGGCGCCAGACCCGACAGTCTCGCCACGCCGCGCTCGCCAAGGAGTACGCGATCATGAGCTGCGAGGAGATCGTCAAGGGTGACGCCCTCGAGCTGGGCACACTGCACGCGCTGCTGGGCGAGATCGAGGAGCGCGTGGGCGTCCCCGACACCGTTCTGGCGGTCGAGCCCACGGTGGCCGTCGCCCGGGCTCGAGAGGGCCAGGGTGAGGGCGCGCCCGCCGCCCAGGAGCCCGAGGAGCAGAAGCGCTGGGCCGAGCGCTGCGCGTGCCTTAAGGTCGGCGGTTTCTACGATGGCCCCCCCGCCAGGGTGCCCCCAGCGTTTCGCTCGGGTTTGGGGCGAGTCCTGAGGCGCCCTGGGCAGGGGGCACTCGTGGCAATTCCCGCCAGGTCTCGAGGATCGACGGGGGCGGCGTCGCGGTGGAGCGCCGCGACGCCCTCGAGTAGTTGTCTGAGAGCGCCAAGCAGGCCCAGAAGGGCCACATGCGAACTAGCGCCTACGCCGCGCGATTTCTGAGGGGGGAAGGTAGGGTTCACTTTGCTCGGGAGCTGCCGAGCGAAGTGTACCCCGCCCTCTTCCTCAGAAATCGCGGGTAGGGTTCGCGCGTGGCCGCCCAGGGCCGCCGCGAGGACCCCCCGCGAGCTCGGCGCCATTGGCCCCGGCGAGAATTCCAGCACCGAGTAACAAACGGTAACGAGCAGACGGTTGGAGCTGCGGCCTGTGGACGAGTCGCTGGATCGAGCGTGCCCTGCGCGAGATTCGAGGCGAGGGCCGCCAAATACCAGCGAACCTCAACGCCGTGGTCGCTCGAGGCATCGAGTTTATCGGTGAGCCCAAGGAGGCCAATGACAACGACGTGGCGATGGCCCAGGCCAAGGCCAAGGCCGAGCACAAGTCCAACCCTTGCAAGGGCCCCGCGACGGCCGAGCCTAAGTAAGCAGCCTCTGCCAGCTGCGATGAAGAAGCAGCCCCCCGTCGCCCGCGCGCTCGCGTACCTGCGTGTGCGCCAAGAAAGGTGGGTCATGTGCATGATCGATGACTTTTCCTTCTGGTCCTTTTCCACGGGCAGCTGGTTGGGCTCCTTGCCTGTGGCAGGTGCTTTGCCTCGATCCGAGGCAGCAGCTGCGCCATCATTGCTTTCCGTAGCCTAGTCCACGCACTGGTCGAACTGTGATGTGGGTTTCGTTGCTCCCCGCGTGCTTACTGGTCCTTCCCTGGTGTCTGGCTTGTCCTTCCCTCCGTTCTTGCCGAAAGCACGGGGGGCGGTCGTGCCATAATCAAACGTGTAACATGCAGAATAAGCCCCAGCTGGGGTATCAGCGTAGAAATACAACGTTCGGACCCCTTGGCGGCGAGTGTCACGTATGAGGGAGAATCCACGGCTTTTGGCCCAGGTGCCCGTTGCAGCTTCAGCTACCCACTGCGGTGGACTGTGCTTGAGATAGCGCCGCACCGCGCCCGACAACGCAAAAGGCAGCTGCGTACGTCCAACAACTCCAAGGCTTGGATTGCCTTGCGGGCGGCAGACCAAGCGACCATCGCCTCGCAGAGCAAGCACACGCCGGTGATACACATGCTCCGCTTTATCTCTACTTTGAGCAAGCCATCTAGCAGTAGAGACACCGCCAGCTTGTGTATCTTGCAGCAACCAGCACCCCTGACTCGACTCGGCTTGTACTTCAGCATCTTCTCGGCATGCTTCTCAGTCGTGGATATCACTCCCGCCACTTCGTTGTGGGTCATCCACGGCTTGGGAGGAATCGACACCATCAGCACAAAACTCCCAAATCGTGATGCGACAGAGAATTGGTTTTTAATTTCTCAACCTCGATCGGCGCGTCGTTGGTCATGCCTTTTGGGAGCGTAGCCTTCTTTGGAGCCGTCTTGCTCACGCTGATGAGTTTGGCCTTGACCTTGACTTGGTCCTTGTCACCTTCCATGAGAACATCTTGGTCCCCCTTGGCATCGATGGCGACGGTAAGAACATTCTGTCGGTGGCCGATCGCGCGACGAGCCCGTTCGGCATCTTCATATTCAGCTGTAGATTGAGCCACAACCACGACTGGCGCCTCGTACGCGGCGTAGTAGGACTGTACCTGCTTGGCCGCCACGATGGCGGTATTGCCCCACGGCGCGGGCCACAGCTTGAGCTTGGCTGGGTCCTTGTCCTCGACATCCTCCTTCGTGTCGGTGGTGGCGGTCGAAGAGGCGATTTGCTCCACCACCTGCTTCAGCTTTTTGACGATGGCGGCCGTCGTGTCGGTGCCATCCACCTGTGCTGCCAACGTCTCGAGGCGCTTCACCAGTGGGAGGTCGCGCCCGTTCATGGCCTGCCTCTTCGGCTGCACCGTCTCCAGCGGCTTCGCCTGCTTGCGTGCTTGGGAAATTGCCAGGACTTCGAGCTTGTGATTCAGAGACTTCTCCTCGCGTCGTCGTTGCGTTGTGCGGGCTCCGCCTGCACCGAACAAAGGATCTTAATCGTACTCGAGGTCTTCCCCTGACAAAAAAGAACCCACGTCGCCCCCGCCTCGGCCTCATTGGCCTAACTTCCTGCTGTCTGCTTCCCCTCGCAGACGTGCGCAGCAACGAGACGCGGAACAAATCGCCCAGGAGGGCGGTCGGTTGCCCCAAAACGTTTGATAATGAGAAGAACCATCATCATATCCACAGCAAATTGATGCACGTGCGCCGCTCCGCCCTTGGCGTCTCCACCCCGCTTCGCACCACCTTCCCGCAGATGGTCCCGACGTCGCAGAGATACTCGAAGTCCCAGAAAGTTGCCGGCCCGGCGGACCCGCCCGACCCACCTGTTAGGGTGCACCGCCCAGGTCGCCCGTCAGGGTCCGCCAGGTCGATTGCGTGAACGCCGTCAGCTGCCCGCTTCAATGTCCCGCCCGCCCGACCCCGCCCGCTGATTTCTCCGGAAAGTGGTGTTCTACGCCCCAGCGGGAACACAACGATTAGGAGAAATCAGCGCGGTGCTTGGGCGAGAGTGTTTTTTCGCTCCTTCGCTCGCGGCCCCGCTTCCGACGACGTTACGATGGGAGAAACATGGCCTGCGCCCAGGCGGGAACGGGATGTCCATAATATCATTGCGCGGCGCTTACGCGAGAGTATCATTCCGCCCTTTTGCACGCGGTGCGGTTTTTTGGTGGGAGTAGTGATGGCAACACATGCGCCGTGCCCAAGCTCAGTCCAGGTCAGCCCGTCGCAGCCTAGTTGAGTCCAGCTAAGTCCTGCTTTGCCCAGCTCAGCTCAGCCCAGTCCAGCCCACTGCAGCTTAGCCCAGCTCAGTCAAGCTCAGTCCAGCTCGTTTCAGCTCAGTCCAGGAATGTTCAGCTCAACCCAGCTCCGTCCTTCCCAGCCCAGCCCAGTCAAACTCCGCGTGGTCCAGTCGTATCAGTGCAGCTCAGTCCAGCACAGCCCAGTTCAGGCCGAGACAATGAAACTCTGTCCACCTCAGCCGAGTTCAGCCCAGCTCAGCCAGTCCCGATCTGGCTTGACCATGGTCATTCCAGCCCAGTTCAGCTCAACCAGGCTTTGCCCAGTTGGGTTCAGCACTTTCCAATTGTTCTAGCTCCGCCAAGGTCGGTTGATCTTTGCCCGGCTCAAGCTAGTGCGGCCCAGGCCAATCAAGCTCAGTCCAGCACAGCCCGCGATAGTTTAGGTCAGCCTAGTTGAGCAGTTGAATCTTGGCCAGGCAGTCATGCGCAATCTCAGCGCCTCTCAGATGTCCAAGGAAAGGGACGCACACACACAATGAACACATTGTACACATCTGGTGGTCCCCGCGTCGATTTCTCGATTCTGAGGATACACTTCAATCAAGCCTCATCCGCCCTCTTCCTTCGCAGCCATTTTGGCCAAGGTTTTTTCAAGGTTGGGCGTCTAGCTCCATTACCAGTTTTTTTAGACATCTCTTCTCCAGAAAGAAGCGATGGCGCGTTCTGGTGTCGCTGCCCTCATCGCCGCCTTCGCCGCCAGCTTGTTGGCCTGCCAGTTCTGTAACGCCTTCGTGGTGGCGCCGCTCGGCGAACGTGGATCCCATGGTCACCCTAATGCAGTTCTGGATTCCGCTGGTCCGTCTGGACCGGCGCCTGCCTCCCAGTCGTCGTCGCCTGCTGGAGTCGGCCTGACTCTGATCGGCGCGTCCGCGGCCCTGGCCCTGTTTGCCCGGGGTGCTCTGTCTATCGGTGGCAGCAAGGTGACCCCGCAGGGCTCTGCACAACACAAGGTAGTGATGGCGGCCTTCGAGAGCGAGCTGGGTGTGCAGGACCCGGTCGGCTTCTGGGACCCGGCTGGGTTCACGGCGGATGGTAGCACGGCTAACTTCGCCCGCCGGCGCCAGACCGAGCTGAAGCACGGCCGCGTGAGCATGCTGGCGACGATGGGCTACATCACCCCAGAGATTACCGGCAAGCTGCCAGGATACCTGTCGCCGTCCGCGGGCCTGAAGTTCGCGGACATCCCGAACGGGCTCGGTGCGATCTCCAAGGTTCCCGCGGCGGGCTGGGCGCAGATCGTGCGTACGGCGCGTTCTGCGAGCTGTCCCAGGACCAGTCCGCAGGCACCGCTGCCGCCGCGGGTGACTTCGGCTTCAAGGTGTTGACGTCCAGTGACGCCGCGGAGAAGCAGAAGAAGTTGGCGGCGGAGATCGCCAACGGTCGTCTGGCCATGATGGCGATCATCGGAATGTTCTTCCAGGACGGTTTGACTGGCTCGGCTTGGGGCGATTGGGCGCTCTACACCGGATCCCCGCTGCGCGCGTTCGAGAGCGAGCTTGGCGTTCAGGACCCGGTGGGCTTCTGGGACCCGGCTGGGTTCACGGCGGATGGTAGCACGGAGAATTTCGCCAGGAGGCGCCAGACCGAGCTGAAGCACGGCCGCGTGAGCATGCTGGCGACCATGGGCTACATCACGCCCGAAATCACCGGCAAGCTGCCCGGCTACTTGTCGCCGTCTGCTGGCCTGAAGTTCGCGGACATCCCGAACGGGCTCGGTGCGATCTCCAAGGTTCCCGCGGCGGGCTGGGCGCAGATCGTCGCGTACGGCGCGTTCTGCGAGCTGTCCCAGGACCAGTCCGCAGGCACCGCTGCCGCCGCGGGTGACTTCGGCTTCAAGGTGTTGACGTCCAGTGACGCCGCGGAGAAGCAGAAGAAGTTGGCGGCGGAGATCGCCAACGGTCGTCTGGCCATGATGGCGATCATCGGAATGTTCTTCCAGGACGGTTTGACTGGCTCGGCTTGGGGCGATTGGGCGCTCTACACCGGATCCCCGCTGCGCGCGTTCGAGAGCGAGCTTGGCGTTCAGGACCCGGTGGGCTTCTGGGACCCGGCTGGGTTCACGGCGGATGGTAGCACGGAGAATTTCGCC